CCCCCCCCCCCCCCAAAAAAAAGTCAGAACTTCGATAGTTAAAAAAGGTGGTTAACCTAAAAAAAATTAAATAAAAAAAAGTTTGAAATGAAAGGTCTAGAACAGAAGTGAGGCATAACGAACACGATGGAGACCAGCGCATGAGAGGGCGAGGGACCCTGACGATCGCGCCCGCTCTGAAAAATGAAATGATTTTTTTTTGTTTCGAAATAAAAAGGAAATAAAAACATCTCACTCTTCTCCCGGAGTTCAGAGGGCAACAAATTTAAGGAGAAATAATTCACTTTGTTTTGTGGAAGGACAGAGGGGGGGAACAAAGAGAAAGGAGACTGTGGAATTCAGCCCATTCCCTCCCCCCCTGCTCCCATCCTTCCTCTCCTCTTCCCTTCACTCTCCACCTTTTAAAAAGAATTGCATCAGGCGTCACGGGAGGTTCTCAGTCATTTTTTCCGCAGTGTGATGTTGTCGACATATTTCATCAATTAGTGCAACAGTACGTCCCCCAGATGTCATGTCCAAAATAAAGCTTGCTAGATCGTTGAAAAAAAAAAGAAAAAAAAAAGGAAGAATCCTAACCGATCCAAAATGGCTGCGGGCTGAATAATGAATCCTAAATAGCGTGTCTTGGTGGTTGTGAACAGAGCTCTATGGTTTCAGGTGGGAAGAGGCGGAAACTTCACGCAGGGCGACCCATGTCGAACTGCGAAGTTTACCGCCTCCGGGCAAAAATGGAAGCATAGACACGATGGAATAGACTTTTCCCTGTTTTGACGGTGAGCCGGTTGGGTGTAGCCGATGAAGGCTGGCGGTGGACATCGCCGAGCAGACGTGATGGACGTCGAAAAGATTGTGAGTTATCTGGCAGTGTCCTTCAGCGACTTGGCGCAATCTTTCCTTCTCTCTCTACGGCTTTTCCCCGTTCCGATTTCTTCTTTTTTTACTCCAAAAATACAAAAGTATCGCGATCACCTAAAAATCGTATGTACAGGTTTGAATCAATTTCACAGCTGTGTTCATGTTGTTTTAAACTCTTGCTTTTCCTTTTTTTTCTGCTCCCACTTTTAGTTATTTCAAAAGGTTCTCTCTCTCCTCGGTCAGTTGGAACACAGACGGAGGGCCCCATAGGTTCTCGTCCTACTTTTTTCTGCTTTTTCTTCTTCTAAAGTTTCACCCGACCAACATCCCCTGACAGAAATGAACATTTAAAACCAGTGAACACGTACACCAGCATTCGCTTTCTCACACACACACACACACACACACACACACACACACACACACACACAC